AGTTAAAGAACCGCAAATATCATCTGCGTCTGCCATTATTTTCGCTAAATGTGATGGCCTTTTCTGCGTGCACGTGCGAGCCAGTTGTTACACAACACTCTTTCGAGTTTCATTGAGTGGTGTCGGGTTTAGGTATGTAGGTCTGGCTCAAAAGATTTCAAAAGCTGCAAAAGGGCAAGCAACATGGGTTCATATGTTTTCTCCTTTTTTCCTATTTTAAATTTTATTTTCTTTCTTACATTATCATATATGTATGTTTTTTTTATTACCTCAGCGCATTTCCTTAGATTTGGAAGCCAATTGACCACTTGTATTAGTGTATTTTTATTTGTATTTATTGCAAAATTAGAACATGAAACTTGGTCCCGATAAGTTTTGTGTTTCGTGACCCCAAAAACTGTTTTCGACACCAGAAAATGATATATCAAAAAGTTTATTACAGATTTGCTTAAATTAGTCTGTTTTTTTGTATTTTTAGCCGCTAAATTGATTGTTTATTATCATTATCGCTCATTTTAAGAGATTTCAATTGAGATTTTTTTAAGCATTCTATAACGACATGAAAATCTGCATCTCTCTCGATCGAGTGTTGCCGGCGCCGAACTGTGTGACTTATAGAATAAGACAGCAATATTTTTACTAATAGGCTTCTTGCAAAATTTACCTCGATGAAAAAATCCGAAGACATAGCAAGTTGTTTTCGTGGGTAATGACAATAAATTTGAAAGAAGAGCGAGATGCAAAGATTTTTTTTTTTGTAGCCTAATAGCCGCTTTACCCTCTCCTGCAGTCTTTATCTAAATTTTGCCATTATCATATAAAAATGCAATGTCAGTTTAACATTACTGAACGCATCTGCATTGTTTAGATTTGAATAAGGATATGAAAAGTTAGTACTTGACCAGTGAAAGTCAGATGCATTGAAATATTTCTGCTTCGCAACACATTTTATTTGGAAAGCCATCCCCTCATTACGATTAATACTTTATTTCTCAAGCGCAAGTATTTTTTATTTGCTATGATGACTGTAAACTCACTTTTTCCATTTGAACTTGCAATTAGAACATGAAACTTGGTACCGATCTTTTGTGTTTCGTGACCCCCAAAAACTGTTTTCGACAGAAAATGATATATCAAAAAGTTTATTACTTCTTACCATAGAGATAAATAACACGCAACGAACTTAAAATTCCTGGCACAAAACATTCATTAGCCGCTTTGTTGAGTTGTTTCTTATCATTATCGCAACTTCCATTTTAAAAAATTACAATAGGAGTTTATGTATCACAACTCTCGGTAGAGCTTGCTGAACTGAGTTAGGTATACATCGCTATCGGACATTATTTCAAGAGTTTTTCAAAGCTGACTAATTCAAAATTACAAGGGATGTGAGAGATTTGTGAGTGACAACTGAGAGTTTTCACAGTTTTTCTACGTTATAGCTGGCTAACTGGTTACCAGTCTTCAGGACACTTTTAGGATAAAATAAGAGCACTTTAGGACCCGAAAAAACTGAGTTTTTGTTTGTTTGAATTTTTCTTCTATTGGAATTGGTTAGAATACATAATAAGCTAAATAAATAAGCAAAAAGGAAACACCAAGCTTAAGTTATGCATGTCTGAAAAGCTACTCATCTATATTAAAACAAAGATCGTGAATTAATAAAAAAGGGAAGGATGGGCCGTCTTACCCTTAAATTATCAAGTTTTCCGTGCGCTCCTCGCGTCCCCCCCCCCCTTTCCCCATCATGCACCCAGGAGCAATTACTTTGGTGCTGCATCGGTGGGGGGTGGGGGGTGGGTATTACAAGATAATTTGGTTTTATTAACAGAATTGAAAATGTAAATTAACCACCGTGAAAAGTTTCTATAGATGACGTTTCAAGCGTTAGCGCTCGAGGGCTAACATTCCAAATGTCAGCTTTAGAAACTCTTTATGGTGGCCAAGTTATATTCTATAAATTTAGTTGATAAAACCAAATTAAGTTTGCTTTCAAGTCACTTGCGTGTTCGGGCTTGTGGCGATTTGACTGATCGCTTTGATTGGCAGGCTTCGTTTCTTTACTTTTCTCTTATATTCTTCATACGTACCTCTACTAAAGCAAACTTTTATTTAGCCCCCCTCCCTCCCCTGCGTCCCCAAGCTCTGTCGTCCCTATAGAACTGTTACAGTTGAACAGATATTTTTACTTAGACACCCAACATGAGATGAAAACGCAAACGAAAGACAGACATTGTGCAGTCAGAGCGCGGGAGCGCAATTTTCAAGTGAGTGTTGAAGGTTATTCGAGGTTTCCTTGGTTTTGCTTTTTGGTTTTAGCCGCTGATTTACCGTGTTTCAAGGTTTTTAAGATATTACTGAGTTTTACCTTTCTTTTTGTCTCGCAATTACCTAGATTAGTTATTTCGCTCCTGTTTTACAGCATGAATTTTGGCCGGAATTTTGACGCGCAGTTAAACGTTTTAACTTTCTTGGGCACGGATCTAATTGCAGCATTAATTTGCCCGTCATTCTTTGATAATATTGTTTCTTTTGCTGTTTAGCCATCAATTTATCTGAGTTTTAAGTAAACTTTGTCTTTAAACCTCACCTTGTGTCTGAAGTTAAAGCGCAAATAACTTATTTTTCGTGCTTCAGCTAAACTAATGCTTCTAAAGTTAAACCTCAACCAGTCATTTTGTGGTACGCATGCGCTATTGGAAAGAGATGAAGGGTTAAAGTTCCTACCAATTAAGACATACTTTGAGGTAGCTCCAAGAAGCCCTTGATCTTCGCTTTGTGATTGGTCCAGGGAACTCGCGCCCTTTCTGAGAATAATATTCAAGACTCGAACCAATCGGGAATTGGACACTCGCGTTTTCCTACGCTTGAAGCTGTTTACGTGTTTTTGCATTGAGCTCTCTTTGGCTGCTCCTGAAATTTTCGCTTCATCCGATTGGTTGTTGTGGTTACTTCACGTTTGGTTTAACGACAATCAGTCGAAAAATGCATAAAGCGACACAGTTACTTCTCCAAATCGTTCTCGGCAACGGCTCCCAAGTCGCTTACCGGCAAATGACTGGTTCATCCCCGCTGCTGTTGCGTTTACCTCGAAAAGTCTTCCGCCCTGAAGGGGCTTTACCAAGTAACCATCTAGAGGGCCTAAAAGACCTTCTTCTGACATTTCCCTTGAGACATGTCCTATTGACATCTGATAGATTCATTGGTTCCATTGCCGTGATCAAAAACGGTGACCGCAATGCTTGATGGGCGTGGTTTCTCCAACAATTGCTTTCGCTCTATTGTCGGACGTTTTTGATTGGATAAAAATCTTACTATACCCCTCCGTAGGTCTGATGTCCTGAAATATTTTCTCACTTGCGGAGGCATTGGTCATGTAAGCTTTTTCCCAACCACGCTTCACCTTTTCCCAGGCCATATTGTCATAACACGATTTGATTATGGTTTGCCAATCCAAACGCATACGATGCTGGCGTAGCCACTCAGGACACCCACTCATTGGTGGGTAGTTTATTGAATGCGAAACCGAAGAAAATTGCGAAGTCTTTTAACAGAGTTGAAATAAAAATACATGACACCACAAACCAAAAAACCAGGGTGATTCGCAGTGAAGACAAAGGTTAAAAAAATAATAAACGTTCCATTAGCCCATTAGCGCTGTTAAACTTGATAGTTCACATGGATAACGAATTCCAGATGAAATAACAAAGAAAATTTGAGTTCCTGGTAACACATAAGAAAGCAGTCGTCACTTATTGTCTGCAAGGGGGGGGGGAGGTGAGGCCTGATGGATTTTGGGGATCACATGGTTTTAAAGGGGAACGGAGGGGAATCAGTCGTCACCAACAAAGTATGAAGGGAGGCGGGGGGGGGGGGGACTATGAGAATTGACTGCTAATTACCTGCCAATGAGGAGGGATCGAGAAAATACTACAGAGCCTTATAAAGGAATCAGGTCATTTCATCGCAACACACCAAAATCCTCTGACTCCCTCCCCTCCCCAGTGATAAGTAATGACCAATCACTAAACCAAAGTAAATATTTGCGTTTACTGAATATGAGTGACCTCTTTCTTTTGTTGAATTGGCAAATTCAATAATGAGAGACGTTTTTTCGTCTTGTCACGAGCGTGGCACAAAGAAAAAATTCTGAGTCCCCATGAGGAATTGAATTGAAATTGAACCTCTGACCTTCGGATTTCCGAGCTCCAATGCTCTACCACTGAGTCACAGATACTCCACGACGAGCGAGGTCTAGTGCGAAGTTTCACATGAAAAAACAACTTTCTCTATCACCTTACCGAACTCAAAATTAACCATCTCTCTTATTATATTTACAAACATGACGATATCGACATTGCTGATCCTAACATTATGTATAACCTCAAAAGGTTACCTAAGTGACTGAGCGGACAATTCGAACGCACACAGTGATCTTTATTACATTTAGATGATAGCGTTAAGACGTAATTTTGCTTGATGAGAGTAGCGGTTAAGGTTGCGTGTGGTTCGAACTAAAAGAGGATACAACAGAAACAAAACTAAGAAAAATGCGTTTCGAAATGTAACATATTTACCTAACTAAAAATGTAGCGATTGCACACAAAACTGAATACGAGAACTACACCAATAATACATACAAAAGGTAAACAACGTAAATGCAAAAGAAATAAAGACTTACTTTGATCTGGCTCGTAACAGTAGCAAATAGCCTGTAGCGATTATCGAGCAGCGACGATTTAGCAGCGATGATTTAGTAGCGATGACTGAGATAAAATCTTTGTACGTGTACTTACATGGGACATTGATCGGAGATAACAAACTTATTGTGTAATAATTATTAACTAACGAAACACTTATTGATAATAAATGAACCAGAACAAAAACTATAATAAAGTGTGTATTAACTAAGCGTCTCGAAACTAACCGTCTGCAGGACGCGTGCCATAAACTAGACTCGCTCACTGTGGAGTCTCTGTGGCTCATGGTGAAGCACCGGAGCGCGGAAATCGGAAGGTTTGAGGTTCAATTCCCCATAGGGGCTCGGAATTTTTACTTTGTCCCACGCTCATGGCAAGACGAAAAAATAACTCTCTCTATTATCTTACCGAGCGCAAAACTTACGATCTCTCTTATTCTATTTCGAGACATTTCATTGTTCTGATGCACTCAGTCATCCGGATGAATGCCTTTGATTATTTGATATAAGGTGATTGACGTATTATGATCGTCTGTGTTCGCGTGGTCCTCGAAGCATCCCATCATTGCAAAGCAACACAGAATCGACGGTAGGTTGCGAACTAAATGCTACGTCTTTAAAATTCGTAAAGAGCGACTAACTTATTGACAAGAAGAAAATGAGTTTTGGGGCCAGTAGTACGGTTACGAGACAGACGATTTGAAAACTACCTACATCTTGAGCTATTTGATCGAGAATCGAAACCGAGAGGTTCTATGTGATTGAGTTGAATTCATATCAATGTTTTCCGGCAGCTGTTGGTCGAATCGATTTCAAGCGTTATGTGACAGATTGTGTTTATATCAGGAGAGAAGCTCAAAGCTAAAGGTAAGAAGAATGCTTTTAAAAAACCATCGTAAAATAACTATGTGGGGATATTTACGAATCGCACATAAAGAAACGCACACCGTCAGTAATCCTTGTCACAGCTTCCCAGTTCTCTACACTCAGCAAGCTTATTGGTATGTGTAAGCTAAATTTTGCTGTATGTAAAATCTGAATTTCGAAGGTAGGTTTTTTTTGTCGGACGTATAACGCAAACGTGCAAGAGTCAAATTTATTTTCGAGAATTGATAGTGATGAAAGTGGAAATCGAAAGTGAATTGGTTTCAAATGGAGAAAGTTGGAAAATATTCCTCAAGCTGAGTTATTTTAAAAGTTAATTTCTCCTCTATACTGCAATATTGAAAATGAACGTGATTTTCCTGCACGATTTAACCTGCTAACCCCCATGAGTGACCAAGACAGAATTTCTCCTTACAATATCTACACAATATCAATCAGATAAGTGATAAGAATTAAGAAAAAGATCAATTTCAGATAATTAGTTGATCCAATACTAAATTCTCTGAACTAATATCATAAGAATTGTATGGTTGACAGTAAGGAGAATTACAAATTTGATGTGGGAGTTAAAGTGTTAGGATACAAGCATCTGTCATGATATTCTAGCTTTCAATCAGTTGGATTTTGGGGGGGGAGTGGAGCCAAGGAAGTCAGTTTCACAGCTTATTATTAATGCAGGCTTCAATTATTGCATATAATATTTGTGCAGCTAAACAGCATTCCAAGTAATCTGACAAAAGAAATACATTTGAGAACAGTATAATTTACCTACAGTATGATTGCTTGCTGTCTGTGCATGTATTTGTACATGAAGCCATTCACCATACTGATCACAATATTTACTTCAATAACCAACATGTCTGTTATTAATACATGATCCATGATATTAACACTGGAGTCCAATCCTCTAACATGTGACCATATAATCAATATGCATTTAAAAGCCAGATGGAAGATTTTCACCAGTTTATTAACCCTTAAACCCCTAAGAGTGACTGGCTTCTAATTTCTCCTTACAGTATATCACCCTTGAATCAAGTGTAAGGGTTGTGAGAATAAAAGAAATAATCACCAATTAAGAAGCTGACCTGATTGTCAAACAAATTCTCCTTGTCATTACCACAGGAAATGTAGAGAGATCAGTGTGGAGAATATGAACACTAATGTTAGGGTGTAAAGGCTTAAGGGTTCTATTGTTATAATATTACTCCTGCCGCTGTACAGTGAAAATGTTTTTGTTTCTGTAGTGTTATCTGTTTATACAACACAAGCTTTTAAGTATTAATTGCACTGTTTTGTTTATATCACTCATTTGTGTGGCATTCAATATTACCACTTTTCTTTATGTAATGTTTACGTTATTAAAATCATCTTTCTTTTCTAAAATATGATTTGCTCTAATTTCGTTAAAAATCACCCTCAATAACTGTCTGTTAGAAGCTTGGGAATGCTCTAATTTCGTTAAAAATCACCCTCAATAACTGTCTGTTAGAAGTTTGGGAATCTTAGGGTTAATCATAACCATTACTTAATTTCCTCAAATGTAATTGGTGCGTTAGATGGTTTATTTTTCGATAGTTATTTTTATAGAGTTTTAATCTGACAGTGTAATCAGACAGTTGGCTGTATGGTCAAACCTTGATTATCCAGACTTGTGGAGAATCATAGGCTTTATAGTCCAGATAATCCAGAGTTTGGAGAATGGAAGATATGAGTATAAATGTTGGTCGAAAATGGGACCATTATACCCTCTTGGGTAGTGTATACCTGAGGGTTATTTTTAATCTCTCTTATACCCTCTTGGGTAGTGTATACCTGAGGGTTACTTTTAATCTCTTCTATATATAGATGGTTTAGATGACTTCATGAAGTCATCTTAAGCACTTGCACCAAATTATTACAGTGTTTAATAATGTACATGAAAAAATTACAAGCTTCTGATTGGCTGAAAACAAGTGCATAATTCTCTTGTAACAGGAGTGCAAAGTTGTATCACAAGTGCAAATTACAAATAGCATGCGCAAGCTTTCAAAATTCCATCTGTCCATACTTTCAGTGATGTTTCTTCATGTACATTCATTTATGAACAAGAAATGTTCATGATTTCTCTTGCAATTTTCTGTAATAAGGACTGTCTTGTAAATTTTTCAAATTTTTTTCTTCAGTCTTATAACTGTTTTTTGAATAGTGCATGGATATTATAGGGAGAAGTTACATGTTGATCAGTTTTGGGGATTAAAGGGTTAATCACTTGTATGATTACAGACAGAATTGGACTCTACTCAGTCCTACTATCATTATACATTATGCTTAACCTCGTCTAATAACTAGTTGGTAATAGATGGATTGTACATACACATTGTGATCAAGGAAATATTTTTTTCTGAAAGACTGCTGCTGAAAGGCCTTTTAATCATGTTGAATAAATTATAAAAAGTTTGCTTTTGAGTGTCTAAGGAAAGAGTGAAACAGGTCCCTCAACCCTCAATATCTTCTTATTAATTCTCCCTTCAAGCCACTTTACATTTTCTTGTAAATTAGTAGGAAGAATATGATGTTACATCAATACACAACTTTCTCAGTTAATATGTGTATCAAGTCTTTTGCTGGATAATTTATAAAAATTGTAAGTATAAGTTACATATAAATCACATCTTGGAGTTAACCCTTCTGAACTCTCAGAAGTGATTAACATGTTACCTCTCCCTACATTATCCAGAAAACAGGTAATGAGAATACTGAAAGTTATCAGGTAGAGATTGTAATCTTGATCAATCACCAAATTCTCATAACTAATTCACAAGGAAATGTGTAGCAGCCAGAGGGGAGAATTAAAAATAAGATCTTAGGTGTTAAGGGTGGATTTTTTTACCTTTATAATGTTCTCTTTCAGGTCTTATTGGACAAGAATGATGGAATATCAAGCAGGATAGAATCTCTTAAGAAGAATTCTTAGCCAGAAAATAGCAGAAATAATTTTTAGCTTGTGTCAGTCTCATGGTTGGTGGAAATGAGAGAAGGAGAGTGTGTGCAAAGAACAGCATGGGCTGTGGCAGTTTCCCTGACAACCCCAACAGCTGTTTGTAGCTTACCAGCTCTCTTACTCACCTTCACTACCAAAGGGCCTGATACAGAAATTTTTGAATAAGATAGTAAATATTTCTAAGTTTGTCTGTATTTATACCATTATTATCATCAAGAAACGTGCATTTCTATCATCTGTTTGTACAAGTAGATAAAAGGGGTAAGTTTCTAAAGAAACTGTGGTGCTACATCTGTGGAAGAGTATAACAGGGTAATTTAGTATTATCAACTGAGTTGATAATGTAAATTGGCCACCATAAAGAGTTTCAAAGCTGATGTTTCCAGCATTAGCCCTTTGTATGAGTGATTGGCAAAGGGCTATGCTTTAACGAAGGGCTGCCACTCAAAACATCAGCTTTTAAACTCTTTACATTGGCCTGTTTGTATAAGTAATCCACTTTGTTTGTAAATATGCTTAGGAAAAGAAAACTGTACAGGAACAAATATAGAGGGCTTCAAAATCCTCTCGTCTCTGCTTATTATGAGTAATCAGTATTCACTGGTTTGAAGGTTGCACATTTATACAATCTTTTTACCCCACAAATATTGATCCACAGTAGGAGGGTATGTGGAAACCCCCTCTTTTATCTCTCTTGTGTGACAACTAACAAAATGAGTTTCCCTTAAGATTCCACAGCCTCAAGTGTAGGCAAATTCCACAAATGATCACATCTTGCTCCTGCACCTCACAAGAGAGATGAGCATTTATTTTTTGGAGTGACTTGCATCAGTCTTAAATTTCTCCTTTCTTTTATTTTGGCATTTTACATCGGTGTTTTCTTTTTCTTATGTTTCCACTCCCTTTTTCTTTCCATTTGGTTTCCTTTTGCATTTTTCCAGACTTTCTTTAATAAAGTACTTCACATGAAATTCCATCTCTCATTGTATGGGAATCCCATCAGACCTGCCGAAAGGGCCCCTTATGGGACCTTACCGGGATCTTGGCAGGATTCCCAAATCAACGGAGAATGGAATATCATGTGAAATATATTAATTATATTGTTACCATGCCAGGATCCAGTACCTGATCATTAGTGCAGCTGTTAGTCTTCCCCTTATGTAACAATCTCTTGTAGATTCTGGCTGACAACAGTTTGCAAAAATTTACCTTCTGCACCCTAACGTCAGTATGTGTTTTCTCCATAATGTTCTCTATACATTTTCTAAGGTGCTGAGAAGGAGAATTTCTTTAACAATCAAAAACTTCCTAAGTTGGTGATCATTTCCTCCATTTTTGCAGCC